CATATTAGTTCAAAACTCTCTCACTACACAGCGCTAGTGTGCACATGAGCTTCGTATAAAAGCTGTATCCCAAAATCCTGGCCATATAGAAACTTACTGTCTTCAGCAAAGTTGTTCAGGTGATCATGTCCTTTTGTGTTTATATTAGTTCAGAACTCTCTCACTACACAGCGCTAGTGTGCATGTGAAATTCCTATAAAAACTGTATATCGAGAACCTGGCCATATAGAAAGTTACTGTCTTCAGCAAAGTTGTTCAGCTGACCAAATCTTTTCGGATGGTGGTCATATTATTTCAAAACTTGCTCACAACGCGGCGCTAGTGTGCGTATGAACTTCCTTAATATGTTATGTGTGGAAATCTTGTCCATATAAGATGTTGCTGTGCAATGTGAGGACAAGAACCGGAAAAGGGATGATGTTTAGAGGTCAGAAATCGATTTCGGACGCTATTTTAAAATCCAAGATGGCGACCATCGGTTCAAGAAAAGCTGTCAAATACCCTATAATATGGGTATTTTCGTAAATGCGACAACGTGTAGAGGCCGTCAATCGATGCCAGGCATAATTTTGGACAAGATGGCGACTATCGGTTCAAGAAAAACTGTCAAATACCCTACAGTAGGGTATTTCCGGATAGGGGATGACGTCTATAGGCTGCAAACACTACCCCGAAAACACTCATAGACGTCTTATCACAATAAGTTCAGAGGAATGACCAGCAAAAGGACGCTGGGGACCACGGAATGGTCCACTAAAAAAGCCGAAACATCCGCAAGTCAATTCATGAAAATGATCCTAGAGCTCGGTGATTTTTTCGAAACCACTAATATATGTCTTATTACAACAAATTAGGAGTTTTGACCAGACAATGGAAGCTGGGGACCACGGGATGGCCCACTAAAAGATCCGAAATATCCGCAAAAGTGGTCACTTCATGAAACTGATCCAAAGAGCTCCGTGGTTTTATTGAAACCACTCATAGACATCTTATCAGAATCTGATCCTAGAACTCCGCGGTTTTTTCGAAACCACTCATAAATTAATATGAATAATAACTCTGTGATCCAAGATCTCCAAGAAGTCAAGAGAAAGAAGTCCAAGAAATCTAAGGAATAATATTCAAAAATTCGGTTAAAAGCGCCTAGAAGTTATTAAATACTTAAATACCACCTAGAAATCATCCACGATAATAAATAGAAAAATTATGTCTTTGAGCAGTTCTAAACAAAACAGAGTTCTGAGATCAGTTTTCTTGAACTATCCTCCATCACATAACATATGTGGAACTCGATCATCAAAAATCGACCCCATTTCAGTGATTTCAAGTGGTATAGAAGGACATCGATCTGTCGAATTGATTATCAAATTAAATTGTCAATCTCTCTAAAATTGTTGATACCATTTGAAGGATCTAAAAAAAACTAACGCGAGATATTGGCTTATTGATCATCGACACAACCTGCTGTCCCTTCTGCGATATTGAAAATTATTCATGTTAAAATAATATCACCACTGAGCCATAAAACGGGCAAGTTCACCCAAGTTATCACCATACACCCCTTTCCCATGACTCATGCTTCTCGCTCCTTGTTTTACCGCAAGCAAGAAAATTTGTGAAGGACATAAATTTCCATATCTGCAAGTGTCACACCAGCAGCTGCAGTAGCAGCGCAGTCGCTGCCGCTAGTGGTGGTCACATCTTTCTTCGAAGCTTTTGGTGAAACCCATTTGGTGCTTCACAGACAATTGAGCAGTGCGGTTCTCTGTCAACCTTAACACGAAGCTATTCCTACTAGACCTGTGCGCCGGTCATTTCATCGGAAACGAAGGCGGCGTAGAAGCTGTTTTAGTCTCGGTGGCGGCGACGTCGCCGCATGACTTTTGATCGGCGGCGGTGCACAGCAAAAAAAGTTGTTGAATATTACATCGAAACTGCTGCAACCAGCTCAATCCATCGGTTGTGTAATATCACATTGTACGATGTACATCGATTTTGCGAACAAAATTACATCCAATGATGTAATATTGTATCTACTTGTTGCTATTACATCATTATTTCATACATCAGCTTGAATTACGTTGATCGATATTACATTTTTTTTTGCTGTGTGGCTGCGTGCATCGGCGTACCACTTTGGTGGTACTAAGCATATCGCATTTGCATCGCATGCACACCATCGTATCTTTTCGGAACAGTATCGAAATTATGTATGTGGTTGTTGGATGAATGCTCGATCTTTGTGAAATTGACTATTGACCTTAGTTTTGAGTTTCTCTGCATTTGACATGTCACATTTGGGCATTTTGAATTCATACTATAATGTATAAATCCTCACCATTGGACAACGTTTGTTCCAGTTGTTATCATTGTTCTTGATTTCTTGATTTTGTGAGGTTTTGAGATTGGCTTTTCAATGTTCGAGTTGTTTGATTGTGATTGGTGATTAAGGCTCTGGCCAGTGAAAATTATATGGAAGTATCGTTATTCATATCAGATTATCGTGCAGCTTAAGAATTAACAGCACAAAATGTGTGACACAGATGTTACAACACTGCAATTAGATCTATTGATTTAAATTATTTAAGTTCATCATCCTTAAAAAAGAAATAACAACAACAACTTATTTAAGATAATGAGACATGAGACATCTTTAGATGCACTTTTTTCAGTCTTTGTTCAGGCTAGAGCTATTGAATTAAATTATTTAAATTTATTTTCAGCTCTTCGATGTTGAAACATCTTAAGATTTACCTTTTTTCAATCGTTGTTCAGGTTGAGTTTATTGATTAAAATTTATGTTCAGCCCTTTGATGACTTAAATTCGTAGTAATAGCAAGCTGAACAGGAACTTGGTCGTGAAATAAGGAGCTCGGAGGCATTGTGGCGACCGATTTTGCTTACATAGCAGAAAATCATGGGATCAATCCCAAGCTCTTTCATATTATAAAGTTGTACTTTAAATCGGCTTTCTTTCGTAATATGATCTGAAGCTCAAAGAAATCCGGTTGGAGGGCCGGGTACGTAAAAGAAGTAATATTTTAGTTTCAGGAAAGGCATGTTGATTGGAAATCCCCTCCCCATGGCTAGTTTTTGCACCTTGACGTTGGTGGGAGGGCTTAAACTCATGTCATAATGGAGCGTTCGAGACGGTGGGTTTATAGCAGGCATCTCTAGCTTATGTAGAGGGCTTTTTTATTTTAATTGAATAATTTGAGGAGCAAAGTTAATCTTGCTGAGATTCTATATTCACATATCGGTTCAATTTAAATTTTGATGTGGCTCATTTAGTAGTTAGTATTTCACTGTGTTTTTATTTAATTCTATTTTATCAAGTGTATTTTGAACTTTTCGTGGTTGTCGGGACCAGGGGTTGAAACAGTTGACGTTTTTTACTACACTCGCTTCGTTGTCGTGCGCGACAGTCTGTTTGTATTCGAACACTCATGCTCTACCGTTGTCTCTCTCACACAACACGAGCGGTAGAATAACATTCGAGCTAAAAGAAAATGATCAAAATAGCTATCATATGACATGTGTGATTTCGTTGTAATTCCTCAATTTGGTGTAAATCAAACCATTTCTGATCAGAAATGTTATTACTAGGACATCATTGCTTGCTATTTTCAGAATTCACACAAGCACACCATCAGCAGCTCTTATTATGAGAAAAACTAAAATATATACATTCGTGACGGTCTTCGGCGACGGTGTCGTATGACAGAGCCTGTCATACGACATTTTAGTTTGGTACTGTACTATGATAGCTTGTTTTGCAAGTGTCGGAGGCAAAGACAGTCAATTATCACAGAAAATGTGTCGACTACCGTGACCGCTTACAAGACTGGTCGGGACTCAACGCTCTGCTACGGTGCTTTAGTAATGTGCAATTCAATAGAGCTTACCAAGCGCGTTCTGGGCTTATGTAGTTTTTAGAATTTAGTAGGTACGGACGCGAAATCTTAGAATCTCTATAATTGTATAATATTTAGGGGGGAAACCAAAATTAATCAATTTGCCAAACTTTGGCTTTCACATTTGTTTTGGTGGCACTCTGCGAATTACGTTCGGAACTCGCTCGGTTTACGGAACTCACTTGGCTTAGATATTATATTCTTAAACAGATTTACTGATTCAATCGGAGTGCCTTAAAACGGGGTAACATTGATAGTTTTTTGAAGTATATTCTAAATATTTTTTACAGCAATTAATTTTTTTTTATCAATTTTTTTAACAAGTGCATGATCCTTGAGTCAATTCGTTAGTAATATGCTTGACGGAAATTAAATCATTTGCACAATTTTTTTAGTCTTGTGACCGAACATCAGTATTTTGATTTGGGTTACTTTGATAATCCTCGTTGAATGTAGAAGAAAATGCGTGAAACTCAAATAATTTAGTTTTTGAAACATGCAACTTTGAATGAGTATATAATCAGAAAACATCATCAGTAATAAGAATACAACATTCAATTTCTGATGGCTACATTAGAAATACATTTCAAAAGTGATTATTTGAGTGCTTTTTCCAACAGGCGATAAACAAGAAAATTGAATTTTAATATTTTTATGAAATATGTACCACATACAATATAAAAACTATATACCAAATCAACGGAAATGCCCTGATCTACAATATGCAACCAATGTTTCCAATTCAGAAAAGGCGCAGAGAGTAAATTTAATAATTGTATTCTGTCAAAGCTACCCGCATTATCGTTTATATCCAATCCTCCTAAGAGCATTTTTTTTTGTCGTCGTCGGTGAGGTCGCCGCTGGGATAACAACAAGTTGAACGGAAGCTTGATCGTAATTGTTTTGTGATAAAAGGAGCTCGGTGGCCTAGTGGCGACCGATTTTGCTTACTGAAAAGAAGACCTTCAAGTGTAGAAAACTGCCAAAAGGACCAACAAAACGGAAATACAAACAAGAAACACTCAGATATTGTGGTAAAGTTTCTCCTCCTTTAGGAAGGTGATGAGGGCGGCTGCTGCCGGGGTCTTATCGCCCAACAGGTTCCGAATGCTGATTGACTCCAAGCCGAAGGAAGCCCGAAGGTCCTCCAGCTTCGCACCGTTCACGAGGATGTGCTCCACGGTGGCTGGCACTCCGCAGGTTTCGCAGGTCCTCCGGAACGGTGTTCCTCCGAAGTTGTGGGAGACTCTGCTGTGCCCAGTGCACAGCCTTGACACCACTCGTTGTTCTCTTAAGTTTGGTCAATCTTTCCAGGTTCCGGTGGTCGCCTTGATCTTCCGAAGGTGGTGTATCCTTTTGTTCCTCCACTCGATGTCCCAGGCTCTCCGAATCGTCCGCTTGATCTACTTTTTGACATCTTGAAGCGGTACATTGCCGGTGGACCTGGGTCCGGTGTGGCCTGAGCCGGCGAGTCGGTCGGCTATTACGTTCCCTTGGATCCCGCAGTGACCGGGTACCCACATGAATACTGTGTTGGGCGGCGCGTGCTTTACCGTCCCTTGGATCCACGGATGCTTCGGTGTTTCTATTGTTAGGGCCAATATCACGCTGTGTGAGTCCTGCCGGTTGGCCGGTAGCTTAACCGCGTGGAGAATGGCCGCTGCCTCAGCTGAGAACACCAAGCATTGGGTCGGGAGCGATCTGCTCACAAGCAGACCATCTCCGGAGACCTCCATTCCCACTCCGCTCCTGGAGAGATATCCGTCGGTGTACCTAACTTCATAACCTTTGTAGTGCGCCCTGAGAGTTTCGACAACTGTCCGGCGTAAAGCCAGCGAGTTGTCTCCTGCCCTGAAGCTGTCAATTTTGATCTTGTGCGATTGCCAACTTTTGTCTCCGTGCCAGTGGACCCTGGTCACTGGAGGAAGATCTACGTCGGCGGCCGTGCGGAGGAGTCGGTTCGCCTCGTCGAGGAGAACGATCCTATTGTTTCCCGACGTTTTAGCGAGAAAGGCAGCGGAGTAGTAGCTGCGGTGAAAACGAGCCTAAAAGGTAGGATACTGGCTTCAACGCATGCAGCGTCGGCCGGGGTAGAGGGCAGGAGACCGGAGACTGTTCGAACGTAGTCTGTACACCGGTTCCAGAATCTGGACGGCTTTCTTGGCGGCAAGGCATGTAATCTCAACACCGTAGGTGACTGTCTATGATGGCTCGAACTACGCGGAAGCGGATTTCGCGATTGTTGGATCGGTGGGGGCGGGAGATGGTCTTAATCAGGTTGAACCGACTGCGACAGAGGAGCACTCCCAAGACCCTCACGGTGTTTTTGGTCGGTATTACTTAATTTTTTAATCATGATGGGCTGTCCGTTGTTGCGATGCCTGGTGATACATATATGGCAGCGCACACTCTTGCCGGCGGAAAGCTGGAAACCAACAGAGTCAGCCCATCTGACCAGCGAGGAGACTGCCGCTTGCGCTCTCAGTTTCGTCCTCTGCAGGGTGGGACCCACCGTTACTATGAGGACGTCATCCGCGTAGACGAGGATGTAAACGTTCTTGGGTAGTTGGTCAAAGACTCCATTCATGGTCACCAGGAAGAGGGTGACCGCAATCACCGAACCCTGTGGCACTCCGGTTTCCTCACTGTAGCTTCCGGATTGCACGTTTCCGACCGAAACCCGAAAAGATCGGTCGGTCAGAAATTTCCGGACGAAGTGAAGGATGTGTCCTTTCAGGCCCCAATCACCAAGCTTCTTCAATACAGCTGGTGCCCATGCTCGGTTGAACGCTTTGGAGATGTCCAGCGAGACGATCTCCGCGTGATGACGTTGGTTCTTTGCCTCCTTCAGGACTTCCCAAGAGTGGCGAAGTAGGTGGAGGTGCCATTCCCTTGCCTAAAGGCGTGCTGCCGATGGTCAAGATATTGCTTCAGCCTCTTGTTGACGATCCGCTCCAGGACTTTGGCCATGCAGCAGGTCAGTGCAATGGGACGGAAGCCAATGATGTCCTTGGTCCCGACATTGGTTTTCGGTAACGGTATAACGAGGCTTTCTCTCCAGTTTTCCGGGTATTCTTCAGCGGTCCAGAGTTGGTTGTAAAGGTCGAGAAGTTTCGTTTTGCCTTCGGGTGAAAGGCGTTTTAGCAGCGGGTAGCCGATTTCGTTCGGTCCGGCCGAGTTCCCGTTGCTCCGACTGAGAGCGAACACGAGTTCTTCCCAGGAGAGTGTGCTGTTGATCGGTAGGTCGTCGTTGTCTGGAGGAATTCCGAAGGCAGACACAGAGGACAGAAAGGGGCGCTGTCGGAAGCTCTCGCTGTACTCCAAGATGCCGGATTGCCTACTGGTCTACTGGGTGTTGTAACTCTGATCAACAATTATTTAAATTTAATAAAATCTTTAAGACATATTCTAGTATTGCATCAAATAGTATGGACTGCATCGACTATTAGTTACAAAAAATCCATTCCATCAAAGCTGCCCGAATCTTCCCTAATAAACAAATACCATAAACGAACTGAATCCCGGATGGGTAAACTATCCCACAAATGGTTTGGACGATACCCCGAACACGTCGTTAAGCTCTCTTTTATGGTTATTTTTATAAGGGTTTGCATCTCATTCTTTTTTTTTAAAGTTACAGTTTTTTTAAACAATTCTAAAAATATTTCCCGCATTTTTTTATTTTTTGAAATGCTGCGTAATTAATATTAAAACTTTATGGGCACACTGTATCAGTACTTTTCTTAACTTTTTGATGATTTTAGCAATGCATGTCATTCATAAACATTCTGGTACTTTGAATAAATTCCAGATGATCATGTACTGACCGATTTTTACGGGAGATTGGCACATCACTTTGATTTCAATACCCTTTATGTTAAACAGGATTTTTTTAGCATTCCAGATGTTTCTAGATTTTATATTTTAACTGGCACAGATTTTTCTGAAAATGACCTGACCACGCTAGCTGTAGCATTACCATTATTGTCCTAGTAACTTTTTCCGCCAATTAAAGATACTGTTTTTAAATTCTTATTCGTCTTAAAGTTTAATATGTGTTCCACTTTGGTGCAGTTTGCGAGAAATACTTCTTCTAAAATTTAGCAGCGTAATTGATGGATTTATTGCATCGACCAATAGCCATTACAATGGCGGCGGCGGCGTGGCATGGCGGCGCACAGGTCTAATTCCTACCAACCAGTCGAGCACTATAAGCAGAATGCGAGGGAAGCTTCCAAGCGTGGACGTGATGTATGATTTAAGCTGGAAAGACGGTTAAATCATGTCGTGCCTATTTGGTGCAGATGGTGTCGGAGGATTCTTCGGACTGGCTTTGGCTAGTCTAGTGTGATAATAAAGGAAGTAATTCATTTTCATTTTATCTAAAGTTGTGGGGAAAGTTTACTCCTCAGACAAGCAGAATCATAGACAAGCGAAAATAGGCCTCGGCATGGCACGGTACTGGTCGGACTCGATTGTCCGGAGGCTTGAAAAAAATTCCACTCCAGATAATCGAATCACCTTACAAGCCATTTTTTGTTGCTGCTTATCAAGGACAATTTCATAGATGATGAAAATTATTGGCACTGCGGATAATCGAACCCTCGGATAATCGAGTCTGGCTCAATTCTTCGGTCCTGTCTAGAAAATCTCCCGGGTTAAAAATTTTCTCGGATTCCCTGGAAATACAGAATCAATAGTACACATTTGCCCCGTAACGTGGGTAGATCACCTTTTCGTGGTACGTTATGGGATGTATGTAAGATCTACCACCGATTCCTAGTCTTGACTACTTCAAACTATGATTTTTTCAGTAATCCTAGGTACACATCTTAGTCCTTGTTAATTTTTATGCCTTGTTGATAGTGACAAGACACGACTTTGTCCACCGAGGATGATCTTGAAACAAGGAAAAACTGAGCTAGTTAGTGTTCATCTATGTGATTCCTAATATTCTATTCGATTGATCCCTAGTTTGATGTGGTTAAGACTAGGGTTCTCATGCATGGTTATTATCGGTGTCATTGCTTATTTTAGTTGCTAAGGAATCTGGTTTTGACTGTCAAAGAAGCGCGCTTTTGGAGGGTGTTTAAATACTCCGAAGAGTATAAATTATTATTATTATTATTATTATTATTATTATTATTATTATTATTATTATTATTATTATTTAATTTTATTCATCGGACTATTGTCTACATGAAACAACCTTAAAGCTAAAACAATTAAAGTGTTTCTAATCCGTGCCAAAAAGCGAGATGAAGATTCCCCAAATTCGAATAATTCTTCGACAGCCGTAAACGTACGCATCATAGTTGTTAGTGGTTCGTTGTAACCGAACGCCGTTCGATGGTACCGCGGTTGGAGAAGGGTACCACTTCGTAATGTTCTCGGTGGTACTCGGATATCCAACAGCGAGAGAAGCCTCGAGCAGTCGACCTCACCATTCAATAGCTTGGCAGCAAAAACTGCTTGCTGATTTTTCCGTCGGCATTCCAGAGTATCCAAGCTCAGCAGATTGCAGCGATCAGAATACGGCGGGAGATTTTGCGGATCACGCCATGGTAGATTACGTAATGCTATCCTGATAAACTTGCGCTGAACACTTTCGATCCTCAAGCTCCAGGTCAACTGATGAGGAAACCAGACCAAGGAGGCATTTTCCAGGATTGGTCGCACAAGTGAGCAATAGAGAGCTTTCAGGCAGTGTGGGTCAATGAAGTCCTTCGATATTTTCGACACAAAACCTAGCTGGCGATTCGCCTTTGTGATCAGAGCAGAGCGGTGCAGGTTGAACGTCAACTTATGGTCCAGTAGAACACCAAGATCGCTGAACTGGTCGGTTCTTTGAAGAACCACACCGTTGATGGCATAGTCAAAAACAATTGGCTGCCTGATGCGGTAATACGACATTACCATACATTTAGGAATGCTGAGGGTAAGCTTATTCCGACGACACCAATCAACGAACAGATCCAATACCGATTGAAGACGAATGCAATCCTCAGCAGTCCGCACCACGAAGTATAGCTTTAGGTCATCGGCATACGCAAGCTTACAGCCATCTCCAAGTAGAAGAAGTGCGTCGTTGATGTACAACACAAACAGCAACGGGCCAAGATTGCTACCCTGTGGTACACCTGACGAGTTCGTGTAATACGAGGAAGTACTGGAATCGAGTTTCACTCGCAGAGACCTGTCAGTCAAGTAGGAACACAACCACGAAGTCAAACGGTCCGACGCACCGAGTTTGGATAGCTTTGCCAACATAATGTCATGGTTGATCGTATCAAACGCTGCTTTTAGATCAGTGTAGATGACGTCTATTTGTGCCCCATTTTCCAGTTGCTCAAAACATGTCGTGGTAAAATCTAGAAGATTTGTGGTAACCGATCGTCCAGGCATGAAGCCATGTTGGTCACTAGAGATATAGCATTTGGTGTGCTCAAGAATGAAACCACTCACAATTATCTCAAACAGTTTTGATGCTGCAGAGAGATTAGTATTTCCTCTGTAGTTTTTAACGTCACGTTTATCTCCTTTCTTGTGTACCGGAACCATAAATGACTCTTTCCAGATTGCAGGAAATTTCGACTCTACAAAAGATTTGTTGAAGATTCTGCAAAGCGGTTCAACAAGCGCTCCAATGGTACGACAATACACTGCAGAAGGAATGCCATCTGGTCCAGGCGAGAAGGTACATTTCATTTTCTTGGCGGCATTAGTTACCATAACGGGCGTTATTTCAAAAGTGTTTATGTCAACAAGGTTTGAAGGCACATCCGAAGCAGCCGAGACAAGTTCAGTCGAGGTGATGGATTCTGCGGCAAAAACCGACGAAAAATGAGCAGCAAAAAGCTCACATTTCTCCCCGCCTATCGACGATTCAACGTCATTGAAAAAAACGCTTGCAGGCATTGTTGAATTTTTCCTCTTCGAGTTTACATAGCTCCAAAAGCTCTTGGGGTTTCGCCTTAAATTAGTTTGCACTCGTAAAACGTACGATTTGTAGAGCGAAGAGTTTAGATTACGGTACTCGTTACACGCCAAGTGAAAACTACGCTTATTTGCCAGGGAACGGTATCGCCGAAGTCTACGTTGCGAAGCATTTCTTTTTCGTTTTAGTTTTCGTAGCAAAGCGGTGCTCCACGCAGGAGAAACAGCAGGCCGACGAATCGGTACGTTTGTATCCATCCAATTATTTAGCACAGCACACAACGTTTCAGCCATTTCATCAGCATTCAGTCCATCGAAACGAAGATCCCAGTCAGTGACGGAAAGGAAGTCCATTAGAACATCGAAATCAATCTTGCTATAGTCTAACGCAAGCTCATCACTCGCATTCAGCAGCAGTGCACCGTCATCAACTAGAGATGGTAAGCAGACGACTAGTGGCGGATGATGAAGATCAACTGGCAAGAGTGGTGAAACAGATCTCGAGATTTCCACAGGAAAGTCCGTATGGCAAAAGAACAAATCCAGGATGCGTCCTAAGTGGTTGCGCTCGAGATTTCTCTGATGCAGGTTGTGGAAATTCATGCCATCAATCAAGAATGAGCTAGCAACTGGTAAAGGAACAGAGTTCACAGGTCGAATCTCGCCATCAGCCCAACTCCAGGATATCCCAGGTTGATTGTAGTCACCGCATACCAGCAAGCAATCGCTGTCAGAGTCACTGTTACAAAGCTCTTGGATCGATTCAATATGCCCATTCAAAACGCTGAGATCCTTGCTCTTGTCTGGAGGAACGTAAATTGCACACAGCAATAGTCGCTTGGATCCAATCCTCGTCGATACACACACTTGTTCTATCGTTTCTCCGCTCGTTGCAACGACACTGCTACTGATGAAACGATGATGTACGGCAATTAGAACCCCTCCGAAACGAGATTTGCTGCTGTTTATATGACTTCGGTCACATCGGTACACATTGTAGTTGCTTCCGAAAAGCTGCGTCGAATTGATAGCCTCGTTAAGCCCCGTCTCGATTAAAATGATGACGTCAAAATTGCACCCCAGGACGTTGCAGTAAAAGTCGTCGATCTTGGTGCGCAGTCCACGTACGTTTTGGTAATAAACCCATAAACGACTAGCGTCACGGGTCGTGTTCTGCAACATGGAAATATTTGGCGCGGGAATATTTGGTGAATGGTACAGATACTCACCTCTGGTGGAAACCCTAGGGTTTCCACCGTCCACAGAATGTCGCAAAGAATGATTATTGATAATGGTGCTAACCCTAGGGTTTCCACCGTCCACATGATAGAGCCTTAAGTATTTGTCAGTGGATTGCCGTTGGATCCAGACTGGTTTTTTGAGTAGTCGGTGAATTCACGGAATAATAT